ATTATAGATATTTACATATTAGATATCTTACATGGCAAACAGTGGAATAAGGGAAAATGAAAATTTGGGACAAATAATCAAAATTTCATTTCATGGATTCGTGAATTCCGAGAACGAAATTCCTTTTGTTAGGGGGGAAGAATGTAATACCTCGATATTTTAAAAGGGATTTATTAATTAAATTAATTTATATTATATTATTATTATTTTTAAATGATTTGTTTTAGTTAATTAGGTGCTTGATAGTTGTGATTTGTTTTATTTAATTAAGTGCATAGGTAAATTGTATTGTTTTAATTAAATTATATTTTTTACTTTTATTTGTTAAATTTATATGGTGTTTGATTTGTGGAATGCTAGTTAGTAAATTATTTATTTGATTTGCGTGATTTTATGTTGGTGTAACTTTATTGTTAATTATTGGTAGCTATTAAATTTAATTTCATTATTTTAGGTATTTAAGTTATTTGGATTGGGACTAAAGGAAGTTGGACCAACGGATGTGGTATTGGGCTTGAAGGAAGCCTTGTTGGGTTAATTGGTAAAGGCCCGTGGTTATGAGGATATTTAATAATTATCTTTGCAAAATTATACCTATATAATTACATGTGTATATTAATTCATTATTAAATCATGTGGAGGGATATATATGTCAATATAATTATATATTGATATATATAGGTATATATAATTTATTTAACTAATGGTTATATATGGAAGGTAATATATATATATATATATATTTACATTAAAATATATGTATGTATATATATTATTTAAAAGATAAAGATTATTTATTTTATATGATAATAATCCTAATGGGAAAAGGATTTAGGTTTTTGGATGTGTATAAATAGACACATAAGACTTTAGGGTTATGAGTTTTTCCACGTTAGAAAAATAAGAGAATTAGAGAGAGAAGAAGAAGGGCTAACGAAGAGGAGGCCGGATCAAAGAACGTAAGAGGAGACCGGATTTGGAAAAGAAAAGACAAGTTCCTCTCTACTTCTCCTCTTAGAACTCATAAACTTATCACCTTGATTATCGAAATTATAATTTTATTTTATTAAATTAAATTATTATTCAGATTGGAGGAGCATATTTATGGAAGGTAATATATATATATATATATTTACATTAAAATATATGTATGTATATATATTATTTAAAAGATAAATATTATTTATTTTATATGATAATAATCCTAATGGGAAAATAATTTAGGTTTTTGGATGTGTATAAATAAACACATAAGACTTTAGGGTTAGGAGTTTTTCCACGTTAGAAAAATAAGAGAATTAGAGAGAGAAGAAGAAGGGCTAACGAAGAGGAGGCCGGATCAAAGAATGTAAGAGGAGACCGGATTTGGAAAAGAAAAGGCGAGTTCCTCTCTACTTCTCCTCTTAGAACTCATAAACTTATCACATTGATTATCGAAATTATAATTTTATTTTATTAAATTAAATTATTATTCAGATTGGAGGAGCATATTTATTCTTTACAAAATTATAGAATTAAACATGTGAATATATGTATGCATTGTTCTGATAATTTAGATCTTGTATGTGAGGTTAGGTTAATTAAATTTTATTTTTTCTAAAATTTTTATATTTTGCGTTAACCTTGTGTAGCACGATTAATTAAATTAAATGGATTTTAATTTAATTGTATATGTTCATTTATGCCCAAAATAATAAATAAAGCTTTTGGAATTTTCTAAGTTTTTTTTTAAAAATTTTCTGGAATTAATTTATATTTTTAATGTTATTATAGAAATTATTTATATATACTGTTATATATAGAAATATGTTAAATTGTTTAACATATGACATTCCTGGAGGCGGCTGTAACTTGCGCAGCAAATAGGGTGTGCAATCCAGTGTGGTGCGGCTTAGAGTAAGTTGGTGTAGCACTGATCTGGGCCATGGGTTAAGTTGATGAGTGACTAGAATAATCCTATGCTTCGCGGTGCATGGAGGGATGGTGCACTTGAGCATCTAGACCATTCCTTAGGTCTGGTTGAAGGAGGGATTATCCAGTGTAGCGCGGCGTACCAAATCAACCAACAGCAACCAATTAGGAGCTGTCAACACGCGCCGAGAGTGGCTCAGGCGCGTGAGGGCGCGTGCAGGCGCGTGGACGCGCCTGCCGGTAAGGGGAAGCGCGTGGAGGCGCGTGGGAGTAGTCTAGGGGTATGTGGCGGCGCGTGAAGGCGCGTGGGGATGCGTGTGAGGTCCTGGAAAGTTGCTTGAGACTCCGGTGAAGTTCCAGTATTTATCTTAAGCTTGTTAGGGTTAAAATTAATCATTAGAGGCTGTGTTCTTGATGTTCTGAGAGCCTCAGAGTGTTACTAAGATACCTAGTAGCAGTTAGTGGTATAAATACAATTAATTAAATATTTTTGCAATGAAAGGAGGTGTATATATGTATATATATATATATATATATATATATATATATATATGTAGATATGATTTTAAATAGTCAACGATTGGTATGGAATGTATGATACACACATATATATATATATTATAAAATATATGTGTATATATATATTATTTAAGATTATTAAATATTATAAATCTTGTTTGGTATGACTTGATTCGTGTATGGTATGGTTAATTTAAAATCGTAATAAATACATAGTTATTAAATTAAGGACATGCTTATTATATGCATGTGAAGTCTATGTATAATTATACCTAGAGTTAAGTTTAAAGTTAGTGCATGGTTGAATTATAGGCATGAATGAGTTGCCAAAGGTTTTGATATACTGCCTTATTGGTTATGAATAAATTTCATATATGGGAAGCATAGTTAAATTGCTAATTAATTGTAAAAGTAAATATATTGAAGGAAGTATGGTTGAATTGCTAGTATATAAATAAATATATTTATAAATGGCATGGTTGATTTGCCGGTGCATATTTAAATTGCTATATGTGTAGATGACTAAATTACTGTTTAGGATGGAGTTAAGGTGAGTGGGGTTTACTTTATGAGAAAATTATAAAAGGGGGGGCTTGGTCTAGGTATGACTAATAATTAATTATTGGTGAGTGGTTTTGACAATTTAATGCCCTATTAACAGATAGGATTCTTGTACTATATATATAAGTATTTATATATATTGGTAGCATCGTATATTAAAGTTAAAGTTTAATTATGGATGGTTTTGGTAAAGATGATCTGTTTATTGGTTTTCAGAGGCTTGGTAGAGAGAACTTGCTCGTAGGGTTTAACCCGCGATTTATTTTTCAGGTTGTTAGAAGGTCAAGTCTCAAGGTTGAGGATCCGCAACTGGAGGACTTAGCCATTCCTTCTATTTGCTTAAAAGTAGGATATTAGTTTTGTTTCAGTTGATATTAGTATTTATTTGGTTGAAATTCTAAATAGTAACTTTTGGTTAAGAGGTCCTTGAGTTACGGGATTCCCGAGTTATAACCATTTAGAAGTTATTAATGGATTTACTATTAATTGGATTTCTTCAGCGTTTTATTTTATTCTTTATTTCATTTTGTAATCCGTGCTTGTTTAAATACTATAATTGGTTTGATATTCCCTAATTTTGTGCGCGGACTTGATCGACCCGTGTTCCGAAATTGGGGGGTATCACATTGGGTTGCGGCGGCAAAGGTTATGGGTGAAGATGCGGTGATTGGGTGGCGGCGACGAAAGTCGTGGATGAAATGGGTTGACCGAAGTTGGGTTGTGGGTGAAATGGGTTCACTGAAGTCAATTTTTAGTGGTGGGGTTGGATATGGTGGTGGTCGGATGTGTGGTGCTCGCCGTTGCCGAGCACATCGTTGGAAGCCGTCGTCGTTTCAATCTATCTCGTCGTGCTGGTTCAGCGTCGTCTTCTTCGTGAGGGTTGCAAAGGCACGACTTATTGAAGATTTCAGCCACAAATTCTTCCAACAACTGGTCTTCGCCGTTAGGTATTGCATTTGCGCGGGGTCTAGCTACCATCGAAATCTAATGCCGGACAACCTCCTCGTCAATGACAAAGGCGATTTCATCACGTTTGGGGTGTCTTTGTTCGGGACTTTAGCAAACCTAGGGGGTGTCACTGTCCAAAAATGACCTAAGTTGTATTTACTTGTCTTTTAAGCAAACCTGGTGGAGTGTCACTGCAATTTACCCTTAATTTTATGTATGTATTCTTTGGACATCAACTTTTCATAGCTACAAATATTGTTTAAATCACTTTTTATATATGTATTTTTTTTTAGATATGGAGTACTATTATATTTCTCTCGTAGATTTTACTTCTGCTAGTCAATGTGTTAAATTTAAGTTTCGAAAAGTATATATTTTTTTTAAAATAAACACTCTGACTAATTTTATGGCTTCAAAAGTATAGTAATGATAGAAAATCTTAATAGTCCACAAATTCGACTAATTTTATGTGAGTGGAAGTTAATGTCATCATGATGTCAAAAATATTAATGACATCATCTTAATTTTTGCTCGCATAAATCAGTTGAAGTTGTTCGTAATCCTGAAAATTATCAATCCGTCGTTCAAAATATATGGCATGCATGAACCACATACAATTCTTGTAGTGAAAAAGTAACTCTGATCACTTAAAAATATAATTAATTAAGAAAGAAACTGAATCCTAAACAAAATTTTAGTTTGAACATGATCGATCTTCATCTCACCTTGTTCTCATGACTTCTTGCATTGTAGTATGTATTCGGAGAAGGACTACAATTGAATTTGATTCTTAGTACTGCCAAAAAGTACTACTCAAGTATTGGACACATTAGTTGGTAGAGCCCTATGGATGTGTGTGTGTGTGTGTGTGTGTGTGTGTGTGTGTAGTGAAGTAGCATGGGGGTTGAGAGGCTTTGTTGATTAGACCGGTGGCTCGTCCCCATGCATAAAAAGACTCCAACCACCACAAAATAACACCTTGTTTCGTCAAAGCATAAATCCATAAATACCACATTATATTCATCATCTCCATGCATCTCAGTCTCTCTCTCTCTCTCTCTAAAAAAATCTCTCTTTCTCTCTCTATTTGCATATTTGTCTGATCCGGACCGTAGTACTTTTGCAAGTACTATGGAGAACGGAGGAGGAGGAGGAGAACAACAAAACTGTTTATGTTAGTATATTTCATTAATTACATCCATCATCTTCCTTTATGTATTATAATATTTCTAGTACGTGTTAAAACTCCAAAAAATACATCATCTCCCATGCATCTCAATCTTCACCTACCTCTCTCTCTCTCTCTCTCTCTCTCTCTATATATATATATATGGATATTTGCCTGATCCAAAGTGCATGTATTAAAAATATTTTATAGTTTTAGTACATGTATTAAGAGAATTTCTTATTCTATACCAAATTCTAATTTTTTTATGACTTCATGGGATCGAAAACTGGCTCCAAAAGTTCTTCAACTTCCAACTACAGCATAATGAACAAAGTTTACATATGTATTATTTTTCAACCCATGCATCAAAATTAAGCATACATATTTATGTGTACGTGTGTGTGTGTGTGTGTGAAATTATATGAACCCTTGATTGACAAACTCATAAGAGTGGATGAAATAATATGATTAATATTGACATGGTTCAAGTACTGCTACCAAAAGTGGCACAGCAGTAATCACCCCATTAATCTAATTATGAGGTGCTTGGAAAGAAACTCTCTCTCTCTCTCTCTCTCACACACACACACACACAGACGCATATGAATACATAGTCATGTAAATAGCAAAATCATTCTCTCCTCTCCCTTTTTTTTTTTTTTCAGGCAAAGGTCATGCTGTGATTCTATTTGGAACACTCATTTGAGCAAGAAATTGGAGTTCACTGCTATTGTCGAGGGACCACTGTACTAATGTGTTAGAGAAGCCTCGACCTCGGACCTTCACGTGGTTCAGAGGTCGGGATTAGTGTCGGACCGTCGCTAGCTAGCAGTTAGAGTAGTACTATACATGCCAACTACAAAATGATTCAGGAATTTATTTTTGGAGGATTCGATATAAAAGTATGCTATTTAAAGAATTGATTACAGTTAACAATGTTTCAACAATATATGTATCTTGTTCCATTCAAAAAAAATATATGTATCTTGTGCTTAAAAATTGTTGTTTGAGTGAAGAATCAAATTTCTAATATTTGATTTAGTTGTACTAGAAAGAGGATTTGAAATAGCACCTGCTTACTACAACATAGATTTTATTACCATTGTTTTGGTTGAAGCCCGAGATCTTGTATGAACTGTCCGAATAATATTTTGGAGGAACAATTTTTCTTTATTAGGACAGAAAGAATAATAAGATGGAAGAGTCATCTTTAGAAAGAGCAAAAAAAAAAAAAAAAAAAAAAAATTAGAACTATAATACAATTTTAAATTATAATAATATCCTTCATAATTACAATATTATAAACAGTGACATATATAATAGAAAAAATAATTTAAAAATTTCCTTTTCTCCTCTCTCCAACCGACACCTAAGGTGTCAACTTCTTCTCTTTTCAAAAAGTAAAAAGAAAGGAAATTCTTTCCTAAACATATTTCATCCCTTCTTAATTTGTTTTCTCCTTTCCACTCAATTCTTTTTCTTCTTACCAATTACACATTAGAAAGAATTCAATTTTGATAGGATGTACATAGTATTCCAAATTAATTAAAAGGTACCCTGAATTGAATAATGCTGAATTTTTTTTTCAAGATGTATATCACTGCTCCACGTTTAATAGTCCCATTTCTATATCTTTAAATTTAGTTAAAGTAGCCACTTCAGAACAAAAATAAAGAAAAGAGTACAAACCTTCATCAATAATTTTTTTATTATTATTATTATTATTATTATTTTTTTGGCATTGACTAAATCTCTAAGCAATTTTTGGTAGTGTGTACGCACGACGTTGTCTTGTCTGATCTGTTCTTATTGTTAGGAATATATGAACCCCACCCCTCTAACTAGTTTTGATATTAGTTGTTGGAAATTAATTTTTTTTTTTTTGAGTACATGCAGGGAAAGTATATCATCACACATCATTAAATATGCGTATGTAGATATACAATTATGCATCAATCAAGCTCCGCATAATGTTTTAGGCGGTTCTTTCAAACCTCCAGAGCTACGTTCATAGGGATGGTAATGGAGAAGATTTTGGGTGGGTGAACCCCCTGTTAGAAATACTCCGCCCGATCCCGCTTAAACGGAGTGCCTTGCCACCCCAACCCCGCCTCATTTATAGTTTTTTATCTCACCGACACCCGTGCCGTTTACTCCCAAATGTTTTCTTTCTGTTTTATTATTTTTTCTTTCCACACACAATTATACAAATATACAACCCACACAAAAAGCGTTATCAATAACTAATACACTTGCATTACAAACTAAAATTAAAACTAATAGTAAAATTAAACCTAAATGGGGTGGGGTGACCCTCCCCCTCCTCCACCCCCACACCAAAATCGACCAAATCCCTTAAACGATTTCCCAAAATCAGCTTAAGTATCCCCCACCGAGCAAATTGTAATCCCTAAACATTCGCGAAGGGAGAACTTTTTAATTGTTCAGCGGTAGAGAATGCATCTACTGCCAGTCTACCACTCACTTAATCACCCCATCATTGGTATCTACCACTCACTCTCGGCCACCAATTTCAATGAAGGTTGCATACTATTCTACCTTGCACACGCCCTTCTCTCTCCTCACATCTCACAACCAAACCCTTCTTCTTCTCTACCTTCTCCACTCAACTCCACCTCTATTTATAGATAGAGTCTTCAATAAATTCTTTGTTCGATAATGATTTCCAGAACTTAGCAAACAAGTTATCAAATCAATCACAACTATAACAATAAAGACCTAATAGCTTCCTCCACTAGCCTACACCCGGGACAGAAATTCTTATTTTTACCTCAAAAATCTTGGGTAAATATATAAATGCCCCCGTAACTTTATCCCTCAAGAATTGAGACACAGTACCAACACTCACCTGTTGTATATTTATGCATAAATAATACTCCATCCATCCCATAACAAAATTCACATTTTCATTTTTGTGATCTCAAAATAATTGTTTCAATTCAAATTTCAATGTACTATTTTTAAAATATTTTTAATTTACCATCCTTACCTTAACATTATAAAAGCAATTAAAAAATGTGGACCCACCGTAGAAGGGTACATTTGAAAATTCATTCCCTACTACTATAATAAAATATACTCTTTCTGTCCAAAATAAAAAATAAAAAAATATCATTTTTCCAAAACTTAACTTTTTAAGAATATTGTTTTATAGTAGTAACAAATGAAATTTCAAATATACTCGTTGTCATGCGCTGAGTTCACACAATTTAAATTGTTTTTATAACTTCAGGACAATGAGATTAAATTATTAATATTTTAAAAAATAATGCATTAAAAAAAATTGAGACTTGTTAATTTGGAACAATCATAAAGTTAGTTTTTTTTGTTTTTTTGAAAGATAAATTCAATTTATTAAAGTAGAGAAACTATACAAGCCCAAAGTGAAAGGCTCAAGTAGAGCCCAACATTACAATTAACTGATCAAACAACAAGCCCAAAGGCAACAACCCAAACAACCACTTGGGAGACAGCCCAAACAAATCATTTAGCGAAACATTGGTGACCGTTACCAGCAGCACCACAATCCGGTTATAGGATGGAGTGAAACTCCGAGTTCACAAATCCGACTGTTTTGCCGGAGGATGAACAGTAGGAGGTAATTCCCAGTCTTCTGCAAGCTGCTGTCCAATTGTGGAATCGGGGACGACTAAATTTAAAAGCTTGGTCCCAACTGCATTCAAAGTGAGACGAAAGAGTGAATTTTGCGACAATTTCTTCTTAATAAATATCCTTCGATTGTGTTTAGCCCAAACATTTTAAAGTAGTGAAACCATTGCCAATCTCGAGACAAATGAAAAAGAAAAATGGGGGTACAAAAGTCCGTAACCTAATTATGTCCAGCTGCTAACTTGTCCAAGGATGGTGCATTTCCACTTGCGGACGTTACGTGTCAGAAGTCAAACTAGCATTATAATTTTCCCTGATGTCCACTAAGAGATTCTGACAAAGTAGACCCCACAAGGACTTTTACCATTACATATAATGTAGTACATCTCATTCATATATATATATATATATATATACACACACACACACCATGACTCTTCTAGATACACCAAGAGCCCAGTAATTCTACCTTGCCCACTGTCACACACCGGCAAAAGCCTACAATACATTAGTGAGAAGTACACTCTCACACTGGATCTTCTATTAATTACAATGATACACCAAGAGCTCAGTAATTCTACCTTGCCCACTGTCACACACCGGCAAAAGCCTACAATACATTAGTGAGAAGTACACTCTCACACTGGATCTTCTATTAATTACAATGATATATTGTGTGTGTATATGTGTGTGTATATATATATATATATATATATATATTTACCAAGATATATTGTATATACACAAACATCATATGGAAAGTGATTGATTCTCAATTATTTAGCATACGATATAACAAGAGAGTGAAAATTACAAACTATAAATAGTGTACAAAACGAATCGTATCTACGTAGTTTATGGATTGTAATATCGGTCATAATTGCGGTATCGGTCTTTATGTCAGTATAAACTGACCAATATCAATCGCATATAAATTTAAAAAAAGGTCACCGATACGTCACTTTGAGAAAAGGTCATCTATCAGTTGATAGTACGGCGAATAGAATTGACTATGTCAGCTATTGATGAAGGCCTTGATACGTGAAATCATTTCATGGGCTCGAGTTTGCGAGAGCTGAGACTTGTTAAGAATCTGAAATGCATGGCCTACACCATTGTACACCACATGCTCGACTTTTTTACCTGCACTAGCCAAAGCAGCACAAAACTCCAAGTCCCTGTCTTTCAATATATCCAACTCGGACACACAAACCAGGGTAGGCAAAAGCCTCAAGTCCTCCAACTTAGTGAGCCCTTTTGCCACTGGGTTGCAACATGGATGGTCACGGCTCGCACTGGCAGGCAGCGACATCCTCCAATACGCATCAGAGGCCGCCAAGCTGAGCGCCGAGCGCGGCGGTTGCACCATATACTTCTCAGAATTAGTCCTCACCTCTCCTCCAAAAAAGGGTTGTATTAAAATGGTCCCTTTAAAGCCCAAAGGCTTTAAATCCATGGCTTCGAATCCACTGCTAGAACATAGTCTCAAGGCCACATTGTGAGCTATATTGGCACCGGCACTGTCACCGGCTAGAAAGATGCTAGAGAAGTTGCACTGCCGTGACCACCATTCATTGTTACCACATAGAGACTGTTGTTTCAGCCACATAAGAGCTTGAAAACCGTCGTCGTAGGCAGCCGGAAGAGGATTTTCCGGTGCCAATCGATAGTTCACCGACACGATCAAGCAACCGGCATTGGCGGCTAGGCGTGCTAGGAACTCATGGTAGCAACTCCAAGAGGCTGAGCCAACACAAAATCCACCTCCATGGAAGTAGACAAGCAAAGGGAGCTGCTTGTTATGACATTTCGGAACATAAAACCGTGCCCAAATGTTTGTGCACTTGTTAATCACCATGTCCCTAGATGTCACGCCCAACTCCGAGGGCAATGCACACGAGACACATGGCACGATCTGGGGTCGTTCCACGTGTCCATCTTGGTGAACTCTAATCAGCCCTTCAATTTCTTCAATCACAACACCATGTTGATGGTGAGTGTCTTTCTTGATTTGGAGAGAACTCAAAGTTGGATCTATGGTTATTGTAGCCATTATTCTTTTTCTCATATGAGTATGTGAAGAACAAATAACAGAAAATTTTCGGGAATTTTTTTTTGTTTGGTTACAGAATGTAGGTTCATTGGGACATTCTTATATAGGGACTGAAAAGACAGTATGGGCATAACCCTATCTTTTCACGCCAACTGGGCAATTGGGAAATGTCCACGTGTCTTCACATGGACACTCTAGTGTGGGGGTATGTTCATAGGTAGGGCTTACATATTTTCCAACGCCTTTACGTTACCCAATTGAGAATAATGCACCATCGTTTTTTCATTTCACATTGTACAAAAATAATAGTTTATGTTGTTTGTTGTCACCTAACCAAAAAAATCAACTCTAAAAAACTCTTAATTGTTTTAAAAATCAAATAAAACATGTCAAATTGTATGGTCTAAGGTGTGAACTTGAAAAATTTTCATTTTAGGAGTTAATCAAAGTCACTTCACTGCGCCGCCGCCAACGACGACCACGGCCACCGACAGGCGACACCTAAGGGCTGCAATGCCATTTACCACAAATTCATGACTGCACACATCCAATGTATTTGGACTGCTAAAAAATCAACTCTAAAAAACTCTTAATTGTTTTAAAAATCAAATAAAACATGTCAAATTGTATGGTCTAAGGTGTGAACTTGAAAATTTTTCATTTTAGGAGTTAATCAAAGTCACTTCACTGCGCTGCCGCCCCCGACGACCACGGCCACCGACAGGCGACACCTAAGGGCTGCAATGCCATTTACCACAAATTCATGACTGCACACATCCAATGTATTTGGACTGCTAATACACTAGTGGCCCTACTTGAAAGGTCAATATATATATACAGTGATTTATATGTGTGCAATCATGAAAAAAAAAGAGGAAAAAGCATCAATTACACACTAGAAAGGTCTTCTCTCTGAAATGTGGAGTGACAGTTTTGACTTATGGATTGAAATGTTGAGGTTAGAAAAGAAGAGTCCCGAGCTCTGAAATGAGTGGGGTGACAAATGTTGACACATTGAAGAACAATACATGTACTGGGGTCAAAACACAACCGACTTTGATTTACATGTTGCCTCCCAATAACACACTTTTTAGACCAACTGTTTAATTAGCTAGAGATTTTTAATCCAACCAGAGCTTGTGTGTGGACCTGAATGAGGCAAGTCATTTAGTTTTACTCATGCTAGCTTTTTGTGTAGGGGCCTTTCCCTTTTTTCAGGGCATCCATGGAACATGCTTGTCAATTCATATCTCTTTCAGCGCCAAAATGGAGTTGTGGATCATGATGGTCAAACACTTTCCCTACTCAAACCACTGAGTTCCACCCAATATGCATGTATGTGTTTGCGGCTCTCTCTCTCTCTCTCTCTCTCTCTCTCTCTCTTTCTATATATATATATATATAGGCACTAAACCAACTATTTTATACAAAGAAAGTGTTGGAATTAACATGGTATGAAGCTATACATTAAAAATGTTTTAAAAAAGACTTGTAACGAAAAGGAATGAATAAAAATTATTTACATGAGATTAAGGCAAAGATGACGGGCAAGCAATAACTCTACCACTGTGATAAGTGTCCCAAACCAATAGAATGAGCTAGAAATACAGTTAAAGATTCATTAAACCATATTTCTTTACTAAGATATTCATATTAATTTAAAATTGTGTGTGTGTATAACGCATAAAAACATCAATATTGGAATCAAAGTCTTCTTCATTTTGGATGAGTTGGATATGGAATTTCGGCGAGGAAAATATCATCAGGATGGAGTTGGGAAAATGTCGACTTTAAATCCACGGTTCATTGTTGACCTCCACTACCAAAGTGAAAGGAGTGTGAAAATCCAAGATCATTTTTTTCTCATATCACTACGTGAAATCTACATCTTGTGCGTCCCCACAAAACTTGTACTCGAAGAAGGAACTTGGAAGTAGTGGGCCATGTATATGATGTAGTTACACAGATTAAGTTGATGCATGACATGGGCCACATTCATCAACTTGATCACTTCTCGCGCGATTGAGTCAACAACTCAATCGATTGATCAGATTAATGGAACTATTTTTTACTTTTATGTTCGTGAAAGTTGCCATCATGATGACATTGATGATAGAATTGACGTCATGATTCTTCTATCGAATTTATTTCACTGTCAGACTCAATATTACGACTTTAAAATACAACTACAACTCTCTCTTCTTTTTTTTTTCCGAAAAATTGATAGGAAACACTTCTTTTTAGATTAACTTTTCCAAAAAAATAAAAAATACTAAGGACTTACTTGTTTTATAATTCTAAAAATAACTTTCAAGAATTTAAAAATAAAAAACTATCTTTAAAGAATTATAAAAGGCAATTTAATTATCCCATACATCATTGTGACTTGTGTTTGAATTGAATCCCTCGTGGGCTTGTCCACTTTTGGAAGACAATGGATCACGTGGTCAAAAGGAATGAGGAGAAAGGAGAGAGACAGTTTTCTGAAAAGGAAGGTTGCCAATTTGCATGTAATTCTCAAAACATTATCTTATATATGATATGATCTGCATCTTGATCAAAACATGATCTTATACAGTATATGATACGATCTGCATTTTCTTCTTTCTTTTTTATTCTGATTTATAGGTATTTCTACCCACACATTCTTGTCACGTGACACACACACACTTTAGGCGGCATTGCGTGATGGGAGCACACTTTTTCATCAGTAACCACATGATTTGATCGCACACACATACGTGTATGTATATAAGAAATGTGGGCCTAATAAAATGAACTAATGTATAAAACCTAGTCTCTCGTTCTCATAGTTACAAAACAGACTCTTAGTTTTATACATTAGCTCATTATATTAGGCCCACATTTCCTATATGGATATATGTGTGAACGAACCATGTGGTAAAAAATGAAATAATGTGCACCCATCACGCAATGCCATCGAAACTGTGTGTGTGTGTGTGTCACGTGACAAGAATGTGTGGGTAGAAATATCTCTAAATCAGAATAAAAAAGAAAAAGAAAATGCAGATCATATATTATATATATATATATATATCTATATATAAAAGATAATGTTTTGAAAATTACATGCACATTGGCAACCTCCTTTATTCTTAAAACATTCTCTCTCCTTTCTCCTCTTTCCTTTTGACCACATTATCCATTATCTTCCAAAAGTGGACAAGCCCACGAGGGATTCAATCAAACACATGTCATGGATAATGCATCGGATAATTATATAAAGATCGAATAGAATAATTTTTAACAGCTGTCTACAAGGATATTCGTTTTTTCACGTGTGTGCAAATACCTAATTATATATTGCTCATATATATGATATATATATATATACACACACATAAACAGTTCCAGTTTCAAATAACTAGGACGAGGTTTGTTCTATTGATCTTTGGGTTTCTAAGTATATATAAGATGATAATTAGATTGTAACTTTTGTCACATTGACATACATACATACATACATACATATATATATATATGCCCCATCTGAGTTCAAATAGTAACAATCACAACATAAGACGATTAAACTTACTACAACACTGTTAAAGTAGTATATATAACATATATATCAATCCAAAAGGCAAAGATTATTACTATAAATCATCACAATCAGGACATATAAATATTAAACAAAAGCACATCTTCAGCTCTAACGATTCATGCCTTCTTGAACTGCTGGAGGCACTGACACCTCTCGTTTTCGCCTTTCCACGTTCCCATGCCACCCTATTTGATCCCAATTAAACACAAGAAAAATTATGTTAAAACTTCTAAAATATATTGTGACGCGGTTCTCTAACAACTTAAACTTTTAGAATAGTTGGTTGTTAAAACAATATGTATAAAGAGATAGACCTATGGACATGTCGAATCCCTGCTTCTTGAGCTCTCTATATTCTTGACAGAGAGCACATCCCTCGCAGCAACAATGAACGCAGCAATCTGTGCACGGGCTCTCCTCCAAGAAATACTGTCCCCTCAATTTGGGGCGATAGAAGCACGAATACAGACACGAGCAACTCGTCAAGCACATTATTAGCATGTACAATGCTCCACTCACTCCGCATGCTGTACATACACATAGTGATCATTTTATCATTACAATTCTGAATCTTTAAGAACAAATTTAATTTATGTTATTGGGACTTACATGTCGATCCTCTGTCAACAATTTCCGCTATTCGACCAAATGTAATACATGGGCACCAGCATGTTAAGCAACCTACGAGTCAATAAATGTAACCAAAAGATCAGGGATATTTTTATTGTTCACAAAAATTGAAAGATATTTCACAAATTCTTTAAAAAAATATGACAGAAAATTAATTTGCAAAATTAAGGCTATTCATAATATAGATATACTCTTATTCAGTGTTACATACATCCTCTATGAATTTGGTACGATTTAAGTATTAATATATATATATATCTATATATATATACATATATACATATATTCCTTCACTTTTGGTTAAATTATCTACCATGAAATGACCAGACAATTCACAATAGTACCAAATCAGTAACAACCAACTCCTCAAAAGTTTAAATGATTAGAGAGTGTTTAAATTAACTATTATATCCTATTATAATACGTAATATGGATTCAACTAATCAAGATATGGCACGATAAATTCTCTGGTTAATTAAAACCAAAAATCACTGCAAATTATCATATGATAAGAGCATGTTATTTGAATTTATGGAGGATATAAAGAATCATTACTTCCAAATGAACTTTTTAAAGCTCCATAAAGTTTATTTTTGGTCAATTGAAAAAAAATAATAATAATAAAATAAAATAATCTGAAAAAAAAATTGTGAATTAATCCACTTGGAAGGTACATTGACTAAAAAATGAAGGCATTTTAAAAGCCCAAAAAAAAAAAAAAAAAAAAAAAAAAAAAAAAAAAAAACACTTATCAATAAAGATTAATAATCAAATGAATGAAAATAAATTCAAAAACGGGGAATACTATTAAAATTTATTGAATTAATAACAACAATTTTAAAAAATATATATTTATTCTTATTAAAATCTATCATTTTATTTGTTTCTACTAAATTAATTAACCTACATTGTGTAGCGTAAGTGCCTGTGATATGAGGACTAATTTCTTCATGCAAGCATGCAAGAAAAAACACTTACAACTGCTAACATCGTCGAAGCAATCGCAGAGACCAGTCGACCAAGTTACCGGAGAATGAGAGTCAGTGGTTGCAGAAGCGTTTGTAGGATTGTTCTGACTTGTCATTTTCACCGGAATGGCGGTGGTTGTTGCCGGATATTTGAAATGGGAAGTAAGTTCAGCCGGCGGTGGTGCTTGTGGTGGTGCTGATGGTGTCGACATGTTCTTAAAATCGTTTGATGGGAATATGGTGGAGAGAGAGTAGTTAAAGGGTAGTTCAATTTTGAAGTTCAAACGGCACATGGATTGTGCCTCCTAACGGTTGGCCAACCGTTAATAGATTAAAACCATATATATATATATATATATATATATATATATATATATATTTACTTTTTAAGAAATAAAAATAAAATAAAAGTCTTTCATTTAAGTGACATGTCTAGCTATTTAAACACAAATTTAATTGTTTTTAGTCAGAATTGATAAGCGGATCACTTAAATCCTCCTCTGTATTGGAGAGGTTCGTTGCACCAACTATTAGTACCATTATTAATTAGAGGATACTGGTTCAAAACTTATGCTACTTGGTTGGAGGGATGGAAGAGTTGGGGGAGGGTTGGATGAGATATCCTAGAGAAGGGACATGTCTTTCTCATTTTATGTTTAGTTGAATTGAATGGATAGTAGAAATGATTAATGGAATAATATTTTTTTTCTTATTTAGTTGGAAGGAAGGGAAGGAGAGTTTCTTATATTATTTTTACTAATACACCCTTTTATATAAAATAATAAAGGTATATATTTATTTCAAAATTTTTAAAAAGATTTAAATTGTAAATTATAAATTTATAGGTAGTTATACATTCTTTTTCTCCTCTCTTCCCCCCAAAAGTGGGTGGATAAAAAAATATAAAGGAATAAGGGATAAAGCATCCCTCCTTGTTTCCTCACTCTGTCCCTCCTTCCAACTAGGGCTGCAACTCAGGCGGGTTGAACAGGTTTGAGGTATAACTTGAGTCCAACTCATCATATGAAATGTCAAACCCAAGCCCAACCCTAACCCTATCATCAACCTTAACTACTCAACTCGTGCCCAACCCATCCTTCTACTTTTAAATTCGGACTTACAACTCGGGCTTAGATTCCGGATTAAAATTTCAGGTTACTCATATAGCTAATCTTTATACCCAAAATTTAATATGATCTTGAATTAGTTTTAGATTAAATTACTCTTACACAAGAAGAAATTTAAAGACTTTTTGTAAATTTTTAATAAATTACAAACAAATTTTTAGAAAATTAATTTTCCTAGATGCTAATGTACAATAAGTTAAGATTTAACAAAAAAAAGTTGAAAAGAGAAAAAGTAATCATAATTTAAATTTTATATATAATGTATTTAAAAGTAAATATATATATGAAAATACTATTAGAATTCGAATTCGAGTTGGCTCGGGTTGCTAGCATTTCAACCCAAGCCTAACCCTAATTAAATTCAGATTGAAAATTTTCAACCTAAGCCTAACCCTAATTGTAAAAATGATTGTCCAAGTCTAAAAAAAATTGGGCTGGGCTCAGGTTAGGTTCGAGTTACCTAACCTGTAATGTCTGTAACTTAAAAAGGCAAAAGAAAAAGAGAGAGGAAAAAAAAAAAAAAAAAAAAAAAGAAGGTGGGACCCACAACTTTTGTAATGTTGTAACTTAAAAAGGCAAAAGAAAAAAAAAAAAAAAAAAAGGTGGGACCCACAACTTTTGTAAAGTGGTCATAATACCATGTTTTTTTTTTTGGTCTCTAATCTGATTCTTTCTCTTCCCGACGACAGAAGCTTTCTGCTCTCACTTTTCTTTTTTCTTTCTCTTGCTTCATGAATTTCACTCTTTGATTTCTCCCTCATTTCTTAGTGTTTTTAAGTGCCGTTTGAGGCAAAACGAAGCCCGCGACGAGCTCTACGCGCTCATACAAGCAATTTCAGTTTTTGGTCTTCCTAGGGACTTCGAATTTAGAGACCCATTTTAAGGGTTTTGTGCAAATTTGAGGTAGGGACACTTTAATCCACTACCTTCTTGTTCCATTATGAGTTATAATCATTTGTTGTGCCAAGCATGCTTAATTAGAAGTTAATTATATCAATGATTATTTTAAATGTTGTCTAGAGAAATTCATGTATTTGATTGTGAGTTGTTTTATGTGTAAAGCATTCTTAAAAGTATTTTCTTATATCTTAATGTGTTAATAATTACTTGGGAGATGTTGAACATGTTGAATGTTTAATATTGTGGTGTAGAATTTTAAATACCATAACATTAAATGTATGCAACATATATACATGCACATACCATTGGGTTTGCATGAAATGGGAGAAATTGTTCTTGAAATAAATATGGGGAATTTCAGGGAAGTGTTTTTGATGAAATGGTTTTATGCGAAATCCGGTCGCTGCGGGGTTACCAACGGGCCGGAGGTTAATATAGCCTAGAGGGGACTAGGGAGTCGCCCTAACGTGGTTGAGCTAGCTGGGCCCCATAATGACGCCGCGGGGTTACCAAGGGTCAGGGACACTAGCTAATCCTCCTCTCATGTCGCGGCCGGGCTACCAAAGGGCGGGCTGTATTAACAGTTTGGAAACGATGTTTTGGATTATGAAAATGGGGAGCAACACTAGCATGCATTGCATCTCATACCATTGCATTGGATATACTTGAGATTGAATCGTGATGCTGTATTATTTCCCGACATTGTATGATCCCCATTTCCCATTGGCCTATGCTTCGTTTGGATTCACAAGGACACAAGATGTGTGTCTTAAGTGTCACCTGCTGAGCTTTATGCTCACCCTACTATTTATATTATTTTTTTTCAGGTCTTGGAAATGAATTGGTGGACGACAATCCACATCAAGCTTGAAAGTTGTTAGAAGGTTGTTTGCTATTTTGTATTTGACCGTTCTATGTATATTCGTAGTTGTGGAAATGTAACTAAGTTAGTATTCATGCCTTTGTAACTTAAGAACGAACTTATCTTTTGTTTGATGTAAATGAAACTAGTGAAATTATGGTATATGTTTCCATGCAATTATATCATGTAATGTTGTTATAAGACAGGGACTTTAAATATTAATCATGTATTTTGGGACTGTAATTATGATAATTTAGATTAATTGGTGTGTGGATGTTCCACCATGAGAGGAACTATGTTGAGGTATAATGAACGGATGAATGGGATGCTGGATGATTTTATGTGTTTTGTGTATTGGGACAGGTTATTGAAGGCCCATTTTTAGGGGAGGTTATGCCGAATTTTTTTAAATTTTGGCATCAGCTAGGGTCGTTACAAATTTGGTATCAGAGCGATGGTTCGAATACCATTAGGACGACGGGTAGAGGCTTGCCTAGGGTTGTCTGGAAAGTCATTTGCATTATTATTTCCTTGTTTGGAAAAATGTTTTGCTATGTGAAAAAGCATGCTTAACTGCTTACTTGCTTACGTGCTTATGTGTTTATATGCTTACATTAATGTGTTCATTGCATAGTATTACATGCTAAATGTTTGTACAGTATGTTTTTGCGTTAGGTTGTTCACAGTTGGACCTTAGTGTTATCGTTATTGAATTGTTTCCTTTGTTTTATAGAACGATGTCACGGTGTGAGGAAATCAGGGAAGTTAGCCCTAGACCGACTATGGGTGATGTTGGCGAGAGCTCCAGCTCCAATCCGGAGGAGCTAAATGATGAGGACACACTTCTTAGGGACTTGATTCCCCCGAGAGTTGTCCCCATAAGGAGGGATAATGTTGAAGCACCCGTAGAAGTGGGTGAAGGTTCTGTGGCACTGGAGTTTAATCGTTTGTTACAAAATGTCGTGAGGGCAACGATTGCCGCTCAGTCGCAGTCAGCACCACAACCTACAGTTCAAGTTGAGGAGACACCAGTTCAGAAGCGTCTCAAGATTATCAAGTGGTTTTCTCAGCTGATGCCGGTTGTGTTTGAAGGCGGTGCGGATCCAATGATAGCAGATGACTACATGGAGCAAGTTGAAACTCAATTGACTTCTATGGATGTGACGGAGGATCATTTGAAGATCATCCTAGTTACTTATAAGTTTGCTAAGGATGCCAAATTATGGTGGAAGTCGGTGACGAGCCGGTACAAGGTAGAAGAGATGAGTTGGGACAAGTTTAAGAAATTGTTTTATGAAAAGTACTTTCCGCTTTCCAAAGGTGGGAGTTATAAGACTAGTTTCATAACCTTATCCAAGGGAGCATGTCAGTGGCAGAATATGAAAACAAGTTCACTTTACTTTCTCGCTTTGCTTCAGAAATGGTGAGAGATGAAGTTAACAAGACTCGGAAGTTTGTTTCTGGTCTTAATGATCGGATGAGGCCGTTGATCACGACACAGTTCATTAAGGTTTACGCTAAAGCAGTGGAAAGGGCTTTAATGCTGGAAGCTGATAATAAAGAGAAGGATGCAAGAAGAGAGCAGTTGAAGCAAAAGAGGGGTGCAGGGCCATCTTCAGAAGGATCTTCTTGGAAAAGGAACAGGGGCGGTCCATCTCAGTTTCAGGGATAGTAGTCTGCACAATCTGCTCTTACCACTCCGTTGCCAGCTGGGTCTGATAGGAATGCAATTGTTTGCTTTTAATGTTAGCAGCCTGGGCATTACAAGTCCAGTTGTCCCATGAGATTGACTTCAGTTTCTTCAGCTCCGAAGGCTTGTTATGGGTGTGGCCAGTAGGGCCATTTGATTCGGGACTGTCCGAGTTAGGGAGCAGGCACCACTAGTGGCAGAGGGTCACGGCAGAGGCCGTTACAGTCGGCTACGGTTCAATCAGGTTTCAGACCACCGCCGCCACTACCACAGCCTGTCTTATCTTCTCAGGGTTCACGACCAGCTAGGAAGGATACTCCTACTGTGTCGGCACAACAGTCTGGTGTTCAGATTAGTAGTTCACAGGCACAGGCACCGTAGGGGCGTGTCTTTACCCTTGCATCATCGACTGATGCATCTCCTGGATCTTCAGTTCTCCGAGGTATATTTCTAGTGTTTGATTCTTGGGCCCATGTTTTGTTTGATTCTGGTGCATCTCATTCTTTCATTTCATCATCATTTGCACTTGCATCGGGGTTAGAGGTCAGTTTTATGGATCGGGCGTTGTGTGTTGATACGCCAGTTGGAGTTTCAGTGTCTTTGAGCCGAGTCGTGAGGGACTGTTCCATTGTGATAGCCGGGCAGACTTTTGTGTTTGACCTTATCCTCCTGGAG